ACAACTATTTTTACAGAGATAAGAGTACAGCTAGTTACACATGCAACTTTTAGTTGTCTATTTAAGTAGTTCACTCTAAGGTTCTACACTAGATGCAATACCTATAACCTACTAGGAAATTATCTATTTAAACCTTCTGATCATCTGTTCTGTTATATTGGAATCCTCAATTTACCTTTTATATATATTTAACCAATATACTGTCTGAGCAGTATAGTTATCTACTCTTTTTGTACTAGTTTCTAGACTGTTACATATTTTAGAGTATGTCATTTGCCAGTAATATGCAGAGGGTTTTCCGTTATTAACTATTTACCTACTTTTAGAACACTAACATGGGCTACTCTTACAGAGTTCACTTAGACCCTAGTATTAACTTCACAACATATCTCTAGTACTTTTAGTATACCCCTGCTTTGAACTCAGACTTCCAATTTAGATAGCTCAGAAGGACTGTAACCTGTCCTTGGTATATTGAGACTGGCCCAATATCTTTTTCTTCTGGTCTGAAATCTGGTAGCCTAGTTAGTAGTACCCCTTATCTAAGGTTCTTGCTTGCCCAAATCCTTCATGTTTGTATTTATTTTTTAGATCTAACCTTTACAGTAATACCATCAAAGATTCATGTTACCTCTCTGCTCAAAATTTCCAAGTGGGTTTTAGCTTCCTAGTTCTATAGATTTACACAGCCTAAGAACTTATTTTAGATTTGTACTACCTAGTACCAGTTTATATTTCTTTGTATAACAGGTTATACAGATGCCTCAGACCTGCTAGTCATGCTGATATGATCATAGTTACAGGTATCCTATCTCAACTGATTGACAAAATGCTGTCTTCGTAATACTGTCTATATATTACATAGATAATTATTCAAATTTCACTGTCGATGGGTTTTGAACTCACAATCTACTACTTGGAGGTATGACAACTTATCTATTTTACTAAGTTACCACATTCTTGATTTAAATTTTAATAAATTTAATTTATATTTATTTAATTTTAAATTAAATTTAAATAATTTTATCTTAAATTTATTTAAATTTAATTTAAATTTAAATAAATTTAAATTAAGTTATTTAAATTATTTAAATTTAAATAAATTTATATTAAATTTATTTAAACTTAATTTAAGTTTATTAAAATTTATTTAAATCTAATTTATATTTAAATTTAATTTAAATTTACTTAAATTTAAATTAAATTTAATTTAAAGTTAAATAAATATAATATAAATTAAAATATATTTAAATTAGTTTTATTTAAATCTAATTTAAATTAGGGTGTTATTTTATGGTGACCCATCACTATGGCGACCCTACAATTGACCAATCAAAATCAAGCACATAATTTATACAGAAACTGCACTAAAATTGATTACCAAACTTTGATTATAGATATATTAGCAACCAATTGATCAAATTTAATGAAATTTATTTATTCGAATTCTACATTTCTGTAAAATTCAAATAAAAAAATTTTCATCAAATTTTATTGATTGGTTGCCAAGATATCTTCGATCAAAGTTTGTGAAAATTTTAAAATGAATGTCATACAGGAACTGCACTAAAATTGTTTATCAAACTTTGATAGTTTTTTTTTTCTTAAAAAAAAATCTGATATTATAATGACAACAAGTATATTTTTTTTTAAAAAAATAGTAATTTATATAGCCTAAAAAAGAGTATTATTTTATAGTGACCCTACCAAAAAATCATATTGGTTATTTTTAATAAAAACAATTACATGTACATACATACAAATAAACTACTAGTTGTGTACTAATAATAATTAAACTATAAAATTTTGCAAACACACAAACATTAGTTTTTCAAAAGTACAAAAAAATAATAGTGAATAGAAAATTTAAACAATTAGAAATATTATAGTTTATTTCTTTAACCTAAATATCATAATAAAGACTAATCCACTCAATCTGTTATATTAAAATAATAATTTGAAATTAATATACTATTCCTTAAACTGTTTTCCAGACAAATCTGCCTGGAAATTTCATGATTGATCTGTGATTAATCTATCAAATTATATTTAATTGTAGTCTAAACTATAGTAGATACATAGTTAAATTGACAGTTTAAGAGATAACACTTTATATATGATCCTTATTTACTTAAAACTTGCAAAAGTTAACTTCTTCTATGGTGTTTGTTTCTGAACAAGCTGTCATTGTTGAACTATATACTTATATTCTTTCAGCATTTTCTAGTTAGTTTTGAGACAATCAATGTTTGGCTTCTAAAAAGATCTTTTTGATTAATGAACAAAGATAATAATTCAAGCATTAATTATAGAACCTAATAATTTAAAGACAACTCAAATAAATAGAGATACTATTATCAACATAGTAATTTGCTATTTTTAGCATGATAAATTAAGCAATAAATTACTAATATTACAAAAATCTACTTAACTCTAATTGCGACTATATGGTAGAAGTAGCAAATTACTATAGTAGAATAGAGGTTCCCTAAAATTGCTAATGTTGTTAAGTAAAACTCTGTTATTATGATAGTGAAATAGAAAATTAAAATCCTAGAAATCATATGAGTGCAGTTAAATGAAACCTATAAGTAATGTTTTATGTATATTTAGTTTACATATTACTAAGTTCAATTCCCAATACTGTTATTTAATATTAAATAGCATTGAAAATTGAATGATAATTAAAACAAGTACAAATGTATCAATTCATGTTAGTGGCACTCACATGTATTTTGCTAAAGTGATGAAAACCAAAATTCTCCTGACTAAAAACAGATTTAAATCTAAAATAGAAGTAGTGCAAAGATAATATATTATTGGAACAGTATATAGTAAAGAGGGTTTAGAAAACAAATATTAATATGATAAATAAACATCAACGTTTAATCATTTTGATATAAATTTGATTTGGTAAAAAATTAGAAAAATTACCTAAAAATGTATAGAATTATACCAAATTATAAATAGAAAATGCACTTAGAGATATAATTAATAAAATCTCACTTTTGTTCAAAATGCTTCTAATACCTTTTTGCATTGTACTAATATAATTAAAATTTTTGTAATTAATATGCTTGTTATATTTAATAAATTAGCATATAAAAGTGACCAAGCATACTTTATAATATTATTGATTAAATTGGGTAGTATAAAGCACTCACCACTTCCATATAATTATAAGTAAAAATATTTAATTAGCCTTATAAATTAAAATTTTGAAACCTAAATTTTTAGGTTTAAACATACTATAGATTATATTAGATAATAAAAATAAAATTCTATTAATATACTTACCACATTACAACAGGACAATAGCAATCAAATCTTGTTGATTGATGTGAAGGTTAGTTTCACTACCTTTAGTTTCACTATTTTATTTTTTAATATATAGACACACATATATGAGAAAACCTATAAATGATCTTTTAAGTTATTACTATTGTGGATTTATCATATTATGATAAGTCCACTGCAATGATAGCTTAAAAGATTCATTTACAGGTTTCTCTTTCCATTACTCATATATATTTCTTTGATGAAAGTTGAAATCAGGTTTTATCTTTCATCACTAGCAAACCTCTAAATTTCACCTAACAACTATAATACATTTGTGCTTATCAAATAATATAAAAATAATTTGAAACATTTAATAGCAACCTTACAACCTTTAACTTCTGTTTAATGGAATGAATAGTAGGTTAATTAACAGTGATATAATATACTTTAATTTGATTTAAAACTGGCCTTTATACTTACTTAAATTAAAGCAAAAAAATAATTTTGATGACTTTAATTCTCTGTGACCTTGGAATGCAGTTTTAAAATAGACTAATAAATTGATGTCAATTAGTAATAATGTTTAAGTAATTATGACTTTCAAATGAACCAATACATAGTCTGATAAGTTTACCAAAATTGATGCAAAATAAGCCTCTACAGGCTATAACTACTGCTTTCAAATAGGCTGAAGATGTAAAATATTAATAAATCTTTAAGCAGTTTCAAAAAGACTAACAACTTACCAAAATCAACACGAAAGTAAGATTTATAACACATTATTTTCCAATTAACTTGATTACTAGTTCAAATATGAATAACAAAAATGTGAATATATGGTGCAGATCTTGTTCAAGACTTATTTTAATGGTATTCATTGAAAGCCCTTAATCATAAATATAGTATATTACACTTTATACAAATCTAAATCAGATTCAATATTTGGATACAGACCTGAGTCAGATGAGACCTTAAATTATATTGAATCTAGAAATAATATCTAATTATCTATGAATAATTCTATGTAATTATTTGTAATCATTAAAAAAAAATATTAAACAGAGCCATAAAAGATATGTTAAAGATGTTAATTACTATTATTTGCCTATTTCAACAAATTTTAATAAAGAATGAATGCCTATATTCATTTTTTTCAACTTCATCTTATTTTAATAATTGCTATAATTATACGTTCTATCTGTTTGTTTATTATTATTATAATTTTTCTACTACTAGTAATCTTAATCTAATCGCTCCCTATTTGGGCACATTCGGATATTATGACCCTATTGGCTATAAATGCCACATTGCTTTTGCATATTTCTATAACTTTTGAAATTAATTTGTTGCATGAGTGGCACAACTAACACTGCAACATCACTTGCTCCTGTCAAAATGTGAACTACATGCATTAGTAAGAATACATTAACAAATATTTATTATTTTAACTATAAATACAATAAACTAATATCTGGTTCTATTATATCTGATTCTTCTTAAACATATTCATGACTTGTAGCTATGGTTAATGATTCTTTATTATTACTATCATCAGAACCTATATTAACAAACATTGTTAATAATAAGTATAGATATATACTAAGTACAGATCATTTTCTAATTTATTGTTTAACTTACATTGGCTATACAAATCACCAATATTAGGAACATAGTTAAAAGCCTATACTAAATAAAATTAATATATATAAATTGAACAAAACCTACCTTCCAGTTTCATTATTCTCTTGATTATCATCAATATTTAATGGCTTTTTTTCTTTATAGGTTTTACTATTATGATCTTTTTGTTTGCATACTTTACACTTATATTGAGTTTTAGTATTAAAATTTTCTATAACACTTTTAATTCTTTTTAAATCTAATTTTTTAGGTCGACCTTTTAGTCTTTGTTCAGTAGGATTTTGAATAATTGCACTAACATTATTACCAATACCATAGTTAAGATTACTACTACTCATGTTATGATTATTTTTTATTTTTTTTTGGATTGCTGAAAAAAAACCAAAAAGCTCATGATAAAAATCTTCATTGTTATCCTCAATTGCGTCAACTATTATCTTTCTTTCCAACTTCCAAAGTTCACCAAATTTACATTTTTTTGAAATAGCACTAAATATTTCTTTATGTGACTGTTCTGAAACAACCTTATTCATAAATTCTTTAACATAATTAACACCAGGCTCAAGTAAATGCAAAAATCATGTTGGCAAGAGATGTGTTTTTGATATTTGTGCTAATGCACCTAAAGAAACAACTACAAATTTATTACTTGATATATTAGTTCTCTGAAATACATCCTTATACCAGTGTCTATTTATCAACCCAATATGGAATCTTGCAGTTGAGGTGAAAGTTATAACACAATAAAAATATCGACATAAATAGCTATGAGATTTGCTTATTATGCATGTACAAAGAAAAGTACTATTATTCAAAAAATATACAAAATGAGAAGTGCCAGAATTTGCTAAGTATAAAACTTACTATACTTCAAGAATTGTTAAAGAATCGGTTATAAACGAGCTCAATTGTACTTGTGAACAGTCAAATAAGTTATCAATGCACTGATCTGGTTTATCAACTTCCTAAAAATAATTAAATAAATGATTTATCAAATTAAGATCAGTTTTATCACAAAATCCCAAAAGTTATTTTCCTGAAAGAACATAATAACAACTAAATTGGCCAGCATTATAATTAATGCTGGCTAACTTTGTCAGTATTAGGTCTTTTCAAGAATCTATTTTTTGGGATTTTGTGATAAAACTGAATTAAATTGGTCTGATTTAAGTAATAATAATATTATAAATTATAAGAATCTTACTTTCTCTTTAGAAAATGCAACTTCAAAATTAATTTCTATAGCATGATAATGAAGACTTAAATTCATTTGTTCCTCCTGTTTCTTTATTATATTAGACATTATGAATTCGTTAAGCTGTCTTACAACAGATTTAAAAATAGTTTTTGCTATACTTTGTGATTCTATTTGTGGTATAATTTGCTTCCAGTTTATGAACTTATAGTAGTCATTCTCTTCCTGGTACCTTTCTTCTAAAGCATCAAACAATTCATATAATGAAAGGTTCGAAGTTCCAAAAAGGCATTTTAGTATTGAGTTTTCACTCTCATTATGGGAGGTTGACTGTACACTAGCAGTAAAATGCTTATTGGTAAACGCACGTGCTCATGATTGAGAATTATTATTTAATGATCTTATCAAATAATCTTTTGCTTGTGGATAATCTTGTAACAACTTTTCTCATCTTTAAATAAAATAATTAAACTTTTAATACAAATGTCATAATTATAATAACTTTTATTAGAGTTTAGAACCAGATTTATTTTTCATATGTTAAGCCTAGGTTTGATATATAAACACAGTTACAAACTTTAATTTTCATAACATAAACTATTCACCTTTTTAAAAACTTTTTTTCTATTATACTATTTCTCATTATATAAAAATCCTTTATAAAAGTGTTAAAATTAGTACCTAATATTTTCTTTGGATGTTTTGGTAAATTTTGGCTTATGTGCTGGATACAATGCATATGAAAGATATCAGGAAATTGAGCTATGATAGCACCATTAACTGCTGGGTCACCATCTATTATGAAAACCTTTGGTACTAAGCCAATTGTATCCTTTATACATTTGAAAACCCACTCATACGAAGATTGAGTTTTATCATCAACGATTGCTTGAGCCACAATTCATGTTTTTAAATTGTTGTCTGGGGTAACAAAAATTAATAAAGGCTGATTGTAATGGTTGGTTTTGTATATATTATTATGCATTATTACATCATGGTAACGTAATCACAATATTTGCTACTCGGGGCTCATCCAAAAAAGATGGATCAGAGAAGAAGTGACAGGATCAATTTCCACCAAAAACACCCAACAGGGATCTTCAATTTTTTTCTCATAAAGTCTTTTTAACAATACTTCCATATCATCTTTCCCTGGTTCTGAATCATGATGAAACCTACTAATAGCATTGTAGAGGTCTGGTCTATATATTCTGGTTTTGTATTTCTCTCGGATTACTTGATATTGCATTGTTGCATCTGCCTTAGCCACAACTATTAAGAAACAAATTTCTTCAACAATTTCTTTTGGTAACTTTCTTAACATCGGATCGAAACAGCTTGCTAATGGATGAAGTTCGTAGCCAACATGTTTATTATTTAAGGCCATGACTTTAATACAATTTTTATTCTTTTTAAACCAAATGTTTACTTTCTATGAACATCCTACCTGACAAGATGTTCCATTCAATTGATTTGGAGGCTTTTTAGCATGATGACATAAATATGTCTGTTTCATTATTTCTTGCGTTGTTGTATTTTTTTTTTCACCACCACTGATTTGAATTCTATGGCCCTTAGCTGCAGTGTATTTTTTCATAAAACTTGCCACTTGATCCCAACTTTGGAATGTTTTACCAACAGAAAGCTCCAGGATATCTTCATTATTATCAAAGCTGAAAAAACATTAATGAATAGAAAACTAATTAATCATTATAATAATTAACTAAAAAACATCCTATTGCTTACCTATTCATTTCAGAAAAATCTTCTGTACTATTATGCTCCATCAACATCTCAATTTCAATGTTTGACTCATCTATAATTGATGTTATATATTATAAAAAAACGATCTTTGATTTATAATGATGATTAAAAGGGTATAAAAATTTGAACTAAAGTATTACATTACTTAATAAAATACTTAATGCAGCAAAATTAAATTCTTACAAGTATACTATAGTATGGTATGAAATTTTTTTTTTCATATCTTTACTTTTTTTTTTCTTGTTATGTCTTGCCTTTTTTTTCTTGTTATGTCTTGCCTTTTTTTTTACTGTCATTGCACATTTACTTTTTTTTGTTGCACCTTTTCCTATTTTATACTCTTTTGTTCGTTTTTACTGCTCTTTTTTTTTCATTTCTTTTTTTTTTGATTTGTCACTCTTTTTTTTTTTTTCTCTTGTTTAGTCATACTTATCTTTTTTTTTTTTTTTGTTCACTTCTTGTTTTGTTCTTTCTTCGTTGGTCATTGTTTGTTTTTTTTTTTTTTTTATACAGTATTTTTCTTTGTCATTATACTTCTCAGAATTTTATTTATTTAGACTTGGACCTCATTTATTCTAAAGATCTTGAAGGTGTGATTATTATAACTTCAAAACCAGCAGGTCATGCATGTTTGACTTTGAACTTTTCTACATAACACTAACACTATACATGATAAGCACTAAATGCAGCTAAAATTTGTCATAATATATGATCAGCACATGTATTTAATATACAAGTTGCAAAATACAAGTCGAGACTCTTGTAACCGAACTTTGACTTTTTTGGAATCAACTAAAAAACCAACTTGCTCTATTATAATCTCTGTTACTATTAAGTTAATGTAAAAATTAAAATGATTAGTTAATCTTCAGGGTTGTCATGGCGATGGGTCATCATTTATAATTTTCTTTTAAATTAATTTAATTTAAATTTATTTATTAATATTAAAATAAATTAAAACCTAAAAACTCTCTCCTGTTCATCACCGATTTGAACAGGATTTTTATTATCGACAAAATAACAACTAATAAAGAAAACAAAGACCCTTTATTTTTTATTAGAACTAGGGCAAAGGCCCTTGTTCCTAAAAAACGTAGACTTATACCACTTAATTTTTGAAAACATAAAAGAGTTTTACTTGAAACAAACTTCCTTCTAAATAATCAAAACATGGAATATGAAACAAGTTTTCTTTCAAACAACAGTGCAAACTAGGACGAACAAGTAGAACAAGAACTAAATAGAAGTGCTATCTTGGCAACAGGACAAGAAAGCAACACTGCAAAGAAAAACAAC